ATCAACACTTTAATCCGCTTCTGATGAAAAACATAATGAAACATTGTCGGTTTACCAGTCTCACTCCTTCTAAGAAAGATGGTACCGTTACTATACTTTATTCCCGTACTACCGATACTAGATAAGCTAGTTGAAGTGGTATGACAATTTTTATTTCTTGCATATTCAACAATAAATTGTTTTATCCAGGGGCGGACCTACATATAAGCTAAGGGGGGCCATGGTCCCCCCCCAAACTTCTGGTTTTTTTTACCTAAATAAATATATGTAATATATTAGATTAAGTATACTCAATTATCATTATCTTCAATAACCAATTAACTAAAGATATATTGATTGAGATTATGTGGACTAGGACAGGCCAAGACCCATTAGAGAAATATATAGAATATAAGCCATACAAAAGTCCATTTAACTTTCACCTTTTATTGTATAAATAAAACTACTCTATTTAACATACAGAAATAAACTCAATTCAAGAGTCCAGAGATATAGATAGAAACACACCAAACAGCGGCACCAAGACGTACACAAAGGAGGCAACCTTGCAAGGTAAAAAATAAAAAAGAATAATTTTGCAGCAACAACAAGGATCGTCGGTCCAATTCCTTGATTTTTCCGAATAATTTGATCATTTTTTATACTTATGAGTACTTTAATTTATGCCCGTTTAATCTTATTTATTTATCCTTTTTAGAGATTTAGGGTTTAAAACATATGTGTATTTATTCATCATTCTTATATGTGGTGACTATTATTAAATAATATATTAGCACAGAGCGTGCATTTTCGGCTATGACTATCGTTTAATCTAAACTTAAAATAAAATGGAAGATGACTTTCTTCTAATTCTTTGACTATCTCCATTGAAAGAAAAATATCTATTACTACTGAATCAATCATCGATTGGTTTCGTGACTTGAGAGAACATCAAACACAATTCAAGTAGTTACAAAGTTTGAACGGTATGTATTTTCTTGAATTATTATTATTATTTATTTATTATTATTATTATTTCAGTTCTAAAAATGTTACTTTGTCTTTTAATGAAGCGTGTCATTGAAAATTTCATAGTCCTCCCCAATTAAATTTTCTGGATCCGCCCCTGGTTTTATCAGTTGAGTTTAACACGAAAACCAAAATCTTATTATATTTAAACTAACTTCTATATAATAAATTTAACTCTTTAATCCTTCAATGATTTTGTGAATCCTTTGTGTGTATTTAATTGGTAAGAAATGAGAAAATTACCAAAATAATAAGAAAAGTAAACACTAGCAACTTTTTTCGGTATAAAACTGAAACCGCCGAAAAATTCGTTAACCGACTTTAATTGGTTCGGTATCGGTTTTGTATTTCTAGATTACCAACATTATCGATTCGGTATCGATATAGGCTTGTCGGTTCACTTATCCAACCGATAGCACCCCTAGTTATATATATATATTTATGTTATAAAGATTTATATTTTTTCACTTTGTACTACTTTTTAAGATATGATGATATAATTTGAAAATATGCATGGTAGTCAATGCAGAGAAATGCTCCCCTACCCACGGTGGGTACATTTTAATATGTCCATCGCTTATGTGGCATGCACACATTGGTGATGTATTTTTTTGAACATATTAATATCACCAATGTGTGCATGCCACATAAGCGGTGGACATATTAACATGTTCCCAGCGTGGTAGGTGAACATTATTGAGTCAATGTATACCCATAAATAACATTAGAACGGAATCATGATAATTTGTGAGGCAATAATAATTTATGAATCTATATCTATATCTATATCTATATAAAAAGGTTGTTGGAAAATTCATTTTTGGAAAGCTAAAATAAACAGTCAAAACGTTGACTTTCTAATTGTGGAAAATTTTCAAAAAAATCTAGACTTTTTTTTTTTCTTTTTTCTAAACAACTTTCCATGTTTCATGCAAGGACATCTATTAAAGAATTTTTCCAAGCATTCATGTTTGAAATTTAAATTTACTCTTATCCAAGCGTACCAATTATAAAGCTGATTGAATTCGACTTCAAAATTTAAATTCACACTTATCCAAACATATTAGTTATTTTTCAAAACCAGTTCACACACTTTAATTAAGACCGATATTGTTTTTTGCATATAAAAATAGTACACAATTTAAATATTATAATATATAATTATTTTCTAATATTGATGTGTAACCGCATATAAATATTGAATACAATTTAAATATTATAATTTATAATTATTTTTTAATCTTGATGTATAACCGAATATCATCGCCAACCTGCATGGTGATGTAAAATATTACACTTACACACAATATAAAACTTTAATAAATAATAAATTTACACACGATTGATTAAGATGTCAAAAATAAAAAATTTACACGATAAATCAAGATGCCATATATTGCTACCTAATCTTTAGGAAACATGCAATTTCAAGATGTCAAATATCATTTTAAATAAATTGAAAAATAATTCAAGATGTCAAATATCATTTTAAATAAATTGAAAAATAATAAATTTACACGATAAATCAAGATGCCATATATTGTTAGCTAATATTTAGGAAACATGCAATTTCAAGATGTCAAAGATCACTTTAAATAAATTAAAAAAATAATAAATTTACACGATAAATCAAGATGTCAAAAACAATAAATTTACACAATAAATCAAGATGACATATATTGTTATCTAATCTCTAGGAAACATGCAATTTCAAGATGTCGAATATCACTTTGAATATATCTTCTTAATTTCTGTTGTTAGAAACTCAATTAAATTAATTAAACAACACAATATTTTATAATTTACTTAAAAAAATATCTTGCCAGAATTGTTTTTCAAAACTTGCAATATATATCTACTTATATTGGCTTCCCCGAATCTTTATAAATATATTTCTTATTATTGGTCGAATATAATATTTATTAAATTACCACGAAAATATTTTTTGAAAGCTCTCGGTATCAATCCAATACCTATATTCCATATTATTTAGATGTCTATTCAAATGGAAAGCTAAATAACCTATATATTTAGTTTCCTATATTCTAGATTAAAAGATATCGAGGGCCATATATAAACATATGTAATCGTCTATATATATTTATTCACTATGAAAACGTTTATCGCGAAACGGTTTTTTGAAGTATGCAAGCAACCTGAGTATTATCATCTTACTCCGCATATGAACGTATATCTATGCTTAAAAATATGTTTTATGTTTATGTAGCTACTAATAATTTTATTTTTATTTTGCAGCGAGAGTGAAAATACTGCGCATAAGGAGACTGAAGTGCCGCCACAATATCATACATGTTTCAATGGCTTCAAATGAATTCAGACTATCAAGTGAAACAAAAAATGGAGGCAATAAACGTGGCAGGAAATATCATGACGAAAAAGATTCAAATGTAATATTATTATATGCAACCTACATTTTTTTTTTACAGTTTTCATTTTTTTTTTTCGGATTTATGTCAAAAGTTATAGCAAAAAAATACAGTGAATAAATTAATTTCCCTATATTATATTTATTTAAATTCAGTAACAAAAAATAGTTTAATTTGTTATTCAATATGTTGAAAAATAAATCATGCTCCAGATAGTTTAATTTCTCTATCGTACTGTGGCTCTACTTTCGAATCTATTGAGTCAACCTTTAATTATATTTTTTTTTTGTTATTAGTTGAATAAACAGGTCGCATCTTTCATAAAAAAAACTCGAATAATTCCAATATTATTGGATCGGGCATCATGATAGACATCTTCAGACGACGATAATAAATACAACTCTTACTACACCAATCAAGTTTCCACCATATATTATTCTTTGGTGACTATGACTCACCACCAAATTAAGCCAAAACATTGTGTACACGAAAGTGTTTAATAACTTATAATTTTTTATATTTACTCACGACATGTTTATGTTTGTTACATATATAATAAGTCCATTAAATATAATATTCATTATTAAAAATAAAATCAGTCAAATATATCATCTCGTGCATCGCACGGGCTGCGACTAGTTTATGTAATAAGGATGTACGAGTTTTACCGGAGAAATTCATAATTTAAAAAAATAAATAAGAAAATATTTAAAAATATAAAGTAATAGTGAAATTATTTAATAAATATTTAAAATTTTTGAAAATAGTACTTATAAATTTATTAATTGAAAATTGGTATAATTTAAATTAATATAAATTTCTATGTATATTATATGATATGGATAAGAAAAGTATTATAATATAAAAAGAATAAGTCTATGACCTATGTCATTTTAAATCTTTTTATTATTATTATTATTATTATTATTATTATTATTATTATTATTATTATTATTATTATTATTATTATTATTATTTTTTTTTT